CCCCCCCCCCCCCCCCCTCATCGACCCACTCACCCACCCAACACCAGACCACATTCTGTCTGTCTGTCTGTCTCTGTGTTTGTGTGTATGTTGGTTTCATTCATTCAGACCATCTGCAAGTGGTGGAAGAAGGGCTATTGCCCCGACGGCCCCAGATGCCGACACGCACACGGACTCGCCGAGCTGCGCGCCAGACGGTGAGCAGCCGAGGAACAACATGACAATGAGAAAGAACCCTGACAGAAGCAGGCCGTTGACTCGCTCTCGTGTTTGTGTGCGTGTTCAGCTACCGTCTGACGGAGCGTCAGAAGCGTCTGCTGCGCGGTCGTCTCGAGTCGCAGGAATCCATGGCGTTCGATTCGGTCGACGGCGGCAGCGACAGCCACCCAGACGATGACTTGAGCCCTGGCGGCGGCTCCACCACCAGCAAGAGCCACCCCTCGTTCACCCCCAACTCACACACCACCCCGGCCACCCCCCACTTCCAGGGGTACCTGGGGAACCCTCCCCCGCCCCCCTACCCACCCACCACCAGCCAGCCCACGCGCATGCCCCTGGTGCTCAAGCTCAACATGTCGAGACAGACGTCCGCCCCCCTCACCGTCCCCCCGCCACCCCCACACGCACACGCCTACAATCTTGGCATCCCGCCCCCGCCCCCGAGGTCGGCATCGATGGACCTGCAGGTCATGAGCACCACCCCGCCGCCCCCACCCCCCTCCAACGCTCCCAAGATCATCCCTCCCCCGCCCCCAGCACCTCCCACGGTGCTGCCGGCACCTCTCGGCCGACGCGTGCCGTACTCGTACCATCGCGGCGGGAGCGGCCCGTTGATGTGGAAGAGTGGCGGGGGCTATGGGATGGAGATCCCGGGTCAGGCCATGTACCCGAACATGCCGATCAGCATGCCGCTGAGCAGCGACAGCAGCCCCGGCCGCTCGTCCACCACCGCCACCCTCACACGCGACTACAGGCACGGCAGCGACAGCTCGGGGGGCTACACGTCGCCCAGCGAGAACGGCCAGTGCGGCGGCTCATACGCCTCTTCATACCACTCCCAGGCGGCCACCCACCACCACGGCACCCACACGAGCACGAGTGTGGGGACGACACTGAAGGAGGAGGGGACGGTGTCGAGTGACAGCCGCAGCGGGAGCGGCAATGAGGACTCGTGTGACGCTGAGTGCTCATCGCTCAGCAGTGGAGATGAGGGGCAGGACAGTGGCTCGCAGGGAGAGCCAGGGGAGGGGGAGGGGGAGTGTGGGGATGAGGGAAAGGGAGACGTCATGCTCCCCATCACACCGACACAGCAACACGGTGGCAACAATCCTCAGGTGCGTGGTGGGTGGGTGGGAGGGAGGGAGGGAGAAAGAGCGGGCGGAGGGATGACATACATGACATAAATGAACGTGTGTTTCTCTCTGTGTATGGTGTGTGTCGTGTTAGGTTGCCATTCCTCTGGCGGCGGGCGTTGTGCCTCTGCCCGTGCCCTTCGGCACGCTCGTATCAACTATTTCCATCGACAGTAAGACACACACACACACCCATACACACGCATGGCATGCACACGGCCATCGATCATCTGCTCGTGTGTTGCCTTGTGTCCTCTCTGTGTGTTGCAGTGCTCCAGAGCGCCCAGCCGGTGCAGTACGAGGAGTGAATGGCATGTGTTGGGCACGGCGGACACGCTGGCGCTGGTCCATAGCCAGACCATTCGACCAGTCTGTCTGTCGCTCCTGGCCTCTGTCACCCGCTCTCCGTGTGTGTATCCTTATATGTGCATCTCATCTACACTTTGAATGAATCAATGGATGAATGGGAACGTGTTGGGTTGTGGTGTGGTGTGGTTGCGTGGCTCTTTCAAGGGCGGCGATTTGTCGCCCCGCCACCACAGAGGGAGGCAGGGAGGGAGGGAGGGATGCACGACGGACGACACTATCGCTTTGTTTCTGGTGTGTGTGGGTCCGTCTGGCTGTGCGCCGGCATCCATCGACATGGTGTGCGACCGGGGAACGAGCGGGAGACGGAGAAAGACGGTGCGCGACGCTGAGACGTTTGTTGTTTGTTTGTTTGATTGTTTGTGCCTGCATGCCTGCCTGTAGATTTGCTTTTGATCGGCATGGAGGTGTGTGTTATGTGTGTATCTGTGCGTGTCGTATGACACGTGTGTGGCTGCCTGTAGCTAACGCTCACGTCACAAGAGCCAGCCAGCCCGCCAGCCCCTCCCTGTCTGTCTGAAGGCCTGCCTCTCTTGTCTCTCTCTCATTTCCTTGATCCCTCTTCGTTCTACTGAGCAGGGGATGACTTGTCAGTGAGTGAGTCAGGACAGGAGTGCACTCGTGCGAGCGACCGGCTGACAAGGAGGGAGGGTGGGTGGGTGGATGGCTCATGTCATGTCATGGGGAAACGGAAGAATGGGCGGATGGTTCTTAAAGCTCCTTGGGCGGCCTTTTCCATGCGCAGAGAGCACAGCGAGACGACGATTGTCGGTGTGTTTGTGTGTCGCGTGCTGGCTCTCTCTGCTGCATGGCGGGCCGTGTGCTGTCTGTGGTGTTCGCTGCGTTTTTGTGGCTGACCGACCTGCATACTGACTTGGGGAGGAGGGAGACAGACAGACAGACAGACAGCGGGCGACACGCATGGCTGCCTGGCTGCATGTGTGCACATCGAATCGACCACACACAGTGAATGAATGAAGGAGTCGGGGGGCCGGCTGGCTGGAAAGCGCGCCTGGGCCTCTTGGCGCGTCCTTTCCAGCCCTTTCCTCCCCCCCGATCCATCGTAGTCACTGATGTCCCTTTGAAACGGACGAGCGAACTCAGACAAGAGCTGCAGCGTCGACCTGTCTGTCTGTCTGTCTGGGCTGGTTGGCTGATTGGTTGCTGTGGGGGCCCTCTCACTTTCAAGCACTACACGCATCAGGGGATGTATGGATGGATGGAAGGACTGAGTACGTACGCGTATTTGTATCATACTCACTCACTGACCACCATGGGTGGCGAGAGATGGCGCGAGAGAGCGAGGGAGGGCTCAGCAAGTGGGGTGGGGAGAGAGAGAAAGCTGATTTATGTCATGTGTGGGATAGAGGGATGACGACCGATGGATGCACTCGCCCCCTTTCGCCAGCCTGTGTGGGACGCCTCTGTGCCTGTGTGATGGTGTGGATGTGTGGGTGGATATGTGTGTGTATCTTTATGGCCTGCTGACCACTGCACCCCATCTCATTCCATGGCACCCCATCTTTCTGATTGCAACTGCTGCAATTTTTCTCCCCGCCCCGATTCTCGCGAGCGGGGAATGGAATACCCATAGATCGATAGGCCATATGCACACATCACATCACCGCACCCACCCATCC